GGGCCACGGGCCGGGCCGCCCGTGGCCATGTCTGGTTATAATTGACCTTTTGGACTATTAGAATAATGTGATGTTTATGTTTCTTAAGCTCAAAAGTGAAATGGGATGAACAGTTCATTGTTTCTCCAAATGATGAGGAGATGCAAGAATTTGGTGAAATTGTACCAATTATTTTTTGTAGTGAAATTATCCTTAACTTTGATAGAATTGACGATGACACTAAATTCAATTGGATAACACCGATCATTTTAAGATTTTGAGTCTTTACTTTAAACATTAAGACTTTGGTTTGGTTGTTTGAAGAATTAATATTTGAATGTCTTTTTTTATATTCAATGCCCAAGTTATTTTATGGTTTAAGACCATTTTAATTATTTGTTCGCTTGTATGATTATATATTATTATTTTTGGCATTAAAAGTGAATTGTTCGAATAGCTTACGCAATGCGTTATGCTATTTACGCTACGCAATATAAGGACAAAAACGCGACGCAGTGCGCGATGCGCGTTTTAAAACACTGATAAACGTACACTATTAAATATATAAAATATGCACATTTTTCGACCTAATACTTTATCCATATATAAGTTTTGATTATATTATTTTATATTATTATTAGGCTACATACATAAGTGATCAAGGTTAGTACGGAAAAAAAAAAATATATATGTACATATATGAGTTAGTCTAAAAAACACTCAAAAGAAAATCATCTTAAGGGAATATTAAGTTGGATAACAAGTAACAAAATGTCACATAAGATAACATAACACTTAAGTTAGATCACAAGTAACAAACACTCACATAAGATAACATAACACTCAAGTTAGATCACAAGTAACAAACACTCACATAAGATAACATAACATTTAATTTGACATACCGTACTCTATTTGCTCTAATGATTATTCTCAACAACTATGACCAACTAATCCTTATTCTCAATACAGGTAAACACACATACAGAAATATATTAAAGTAGAGATGTATAGGAGACCAGGTCCAGGGCCTGATTTGTCTCTTAATAAGAACCTTGCGAGCAATTTTTCGGCAGAAAACCAAGACGATCGTTGGCCAAATCGTAATCCACGTAAACATTTTGCATCTGACCCAACAACATGGCATGGCAGGCCCCTCCAGCGCATCTGTCGTCATCTCATTACCATACGACCATATGGTAATGCAAATTACCGATTTGTTAAAACGCGCAAATAAATTTTCAACCGGCACAACCAACTCGCCCCCCTCCCCCCCCCTGGAAAAGGAAAACCAATTCCGACAAATCATTCATACCCGAATAATCAACATAATAACACGGCTGGCATGAAGACCAGTCCTCCATCTCCGTAGCCCTGTTGTACGTGTATGTCCATGACCGAGATCCTGTTGCCAGCCTCCACCATCAATCCTCCGTTTCCAGCCTCATCTACGGTCAGATACTCCTGTGGGACCTCTACCTCGACTCCCCCGACCACAATGTTCGCTACGTTGACAAAGCAATCCGAGTTTTCCCACGTCGCGTTGGTCACCTTTATCAATGAAGTGTAGCGATTTCTTTATCCCCAGGTGAGAACCAAAGCACCGCTTACATTGTGGTGGCCTTCGTATAACTTCGAGACAATGCAGTGGAAGAATTTCGTGATTTTGAGTTGGGACACGAGTGATGAAGGGACACGCCAGAACCCGGCGAGCCCTACACCTTGCGGATATCCCTCCGACTCGGAAGCACACCCGACAAGGAGATTGGGTGCCGGGTGGTTCAATTCGGGTAGGGTTAGGGACTCGGATAGAATATACCCTGACATCGTCACCGACCTTTCATCGTCACTGATTAGAGGAACTTCCCACTAACGATACCAAATTCACATGGTCCGTTTTGTTAGCAATGAGTAATGGGTGGACAAATACACTATTAGTTTATGTTGAGGACTTGAATGGTAAGGGGAAGCAACAGAAACCGTTCCAATTTCTGTTGGGGTATCACAACAAGCGCAGCGGACAAAAATACCCCTCCAACAAATATGGCAAGTACTACTCCAAAATAAGCCAACACAAATAAAAGACGAGAAATAAAAAGAACACAAAAATTGATAACGGAGTTCGGCGAAAATAGCCTACGTCTCCGGGCACCGCCAACCGCAACGCCAAATTTACTAAACTCACCAACAAAATACAACTAGGGTTAAATAACCCACAAAATAGGATTTCCTTAATTAAGGATTTCCTTCAGGAGAGAATAGAATAAGGTGCAATTGTAACCCAAAGGCAAGGGACCTATTTATACTAATAAGATCCTACACATCTTTGGTATACATCCGACGTGGGACAACAATTAATCAAAAAACTAACAATTTCTAGCTTCGTGGTTGCTTCATGACGACTTTGAAAAATTTATGAATGAAGAATCGGTAGAAGGGAAGCCTTTCATGGAGGTAGTTCAAATTTTACCAAAAAAAGTTAAAGTCGTGGTACGTTAATGTATTTGTTAATATCTTTAAGCGGAAGAAAGAGTTGCTGACTATGCTTGTTGAGATACAACGTTGTTTACAACACTATTATTCTTCAAAGCTGGTGAGGTTGGAGGTGGAGCTGAGAAGTGAACTAGAGGAAGTTACGGTTCAAGATAAAGTCTTATTAATACAAAAGTCCTAATGGGATTGGACTTTATTTGGCCGATCGGAGTACGACATTCTTTCATCGCCGGGTTAAAACACAAAGAAAAAGAAATTAGATTCTATTTTTACGGGATGATAAAGTTAGAGTTATGGAGGATTAGAGCTGGTAAATTAAACGAGTTTGTCTCAACTCGGCTCAAGTTCGAGGCCTTATCGAGTCGAGCTCGAGCTCATTTAACGCTCGATCGAGCTCGGCTCAAAAATAAAATTTTTATATAATTTTTTTACTTCAACTTACTAAAGCTCGAGATTGGCTTGTTACGGCTCGAGCTTGAGGCCTTAACGAGTCGAGCTCGAACTCAAATTTTGACTCGTTTATTTGACTCTTTTATTGTCGAATAACCTTCATTTTATAAAAGTCCATGAATAAATGTAGCTCATGAATCACACGAGTTGCGTACTAATTAAAAAATTAGAGTTGAATTAATGAATTAATTTATGATATAGGGTGTGTTTGACACGTATAATAAGCTAGCTTATAGCTTATTTGGTTAGCTTATAAGCTTTCTGTATCAAATAAGCCCCGTTTGGTAGGACGAGCTTATTTAAAAAGCTCGAGCTTATTTGATAAGCTTGTTTAGGTAGCGTTTCAAAATAAGCTAGTTGACTTTTTTATTTCAGCTAGCTTATAAGCTAGTTTTACCAAACACTTTTATCATATAAGCTAGTTTTTCAGCTATAAATCATAAGCTATAAGCTAGCTTATAACTTATCAGCTACCAGCTAGCTTATAAGCTATCAGCTAGGTTTACCAAACACACCCATAATGTAATTGAAAAATCATCAAGGCTGTGTTTGGTAAACTAAATAAGCTAGTTTATAGCTTATTTGGTTAGCTATAAGCTTCTTGCATTCAAATAAGTCCCGTTTGGTAGGACGAGCTTATTTAAAAAACTCGAGCTTATTTGATAAGCTTGTTTAGGTAGCTTTTCAAATAAGCTAGTTAAATTTTTTATTCCAGCTAGCTTATCAGCTAATTTTACCAAACACTTTTATTATATAAGCTAGCTTTTCAGCTATAAGTCATAAGCTATAAGCTAGAAAATTACATATAAGCTATAAGCTAGCTTATCAGCTATCAGCTAGCTTATCAGCTAGTTTTACCAAACATAGCCCAAATTTCAAAAATGTGAAATGAATCAACGATATATGTAGATATTAGTCAAACAATACATTATTATTCATCATTAAGAATATCCATAAATTTGTAGGTAATTGTAAATGTAATGTGTTGGTTTTTGCATGACTCTCCTCGCAACTCAAATATCCCTCAACTATAGGTCTTCTCAATTCATTTACTCACAACATGACGACCCCTCGATACCAATCCACTAAGCAAAGTTGGTCCCAATGGACATCATCACAATATAAATACTATCCGGATTCTTCAAGGCCGAATTGTGTTCTCTTCGAGTGAATAATAAATTTCAATTTTTCTATAGAGAGGCACATATGATTGCATCCCAAATTGTGTTCTCTTCAAGTGAATAATTAAAACAACATAATTTTTCTATAGAGAGGCACATATGATTGCATCCCAAATTGTGTTCTTTTCAAGTGAATAATTAAAACAACATAATTTTTCTATAGAGAGGCACATATGATTGCATCCCAAATTGTGTTCTCGAATAATTACAACAACATAGCATTTTAGTCCCAAACAAGTTAAGGTAGGCTAGAGATGAAATTCAAAAGAACTAATGGTAAGAGAAACACATAAATGATTAGAGCAAAAGAGAAAAGAAGTAAAAGTCACGATTCTGTTATGATTGTTAGCCTGCAAGCGCTCCTATGCATCACTAAATCCTTGGAGATATTTCAATCTTTAAGGTCTATCTTAACCGACTCTTCCCAAGTGAATTTAAACCGACATCTACCTCTCTTTACATATCGACCCGCTGTAGAACTCTCCTACGCACCGATGCATCAGGAGACCTCCGTTGGACATTTTTGAACCACCTCAGCAGATGTTGAATGGATTTCTCCTCAATTGGAACCTCCCAATCTTATTGCAAATATCCTCATTCCAGATTCAAGTGAATAGTTGAAATACTTTTATATAGTGACAACTGAATCTTATTGCAAATATCCTCATTCCAGATTCAAGTGAATAGTTGAAATACTTTTATATAGTGACAACTGTTTGGGTTAGAGTAAACTTCATATAAAAATATATTTGATAGACAAATAAAATAATTTATAACTTATTTAGTTAAATTATAAGGAAAAAAAAATTCTTAAAGCAAGCAACCAGGAAAAAAAAAAAA